TACGAGCATGTCACAGTAAGTAATTACATAATGGTTGGCGTTCATTGGTCTAGATAAACAGGATTCTACAGAAGCTTCTAGAAGGATCCAGAGAGACAGGCTTAGAATAGCACAGAGTAGCAAAGTAAGGACCTAAATATATTCACTTCGGTTTTTACCTTCTACTCAACATCTACATCGGTTTTGTTTGGTAGGATACTAAACAATACACAGCTTGCAATACACGGTGAGTTAAATTTTCTTTTGTGTAAAATCGATAGTGATACACTCTTCATTGACGCGATTTGGGTAATTTTTATTTTAACGTAAGCCGTGACGTTGTAGTGTACAGTCTACTTACGACAGAAGAAGCCACCATATAAGAGCAAAGACAAAAAAATACATCATACAAAAATAAAGTAAATTAAAACGGCATGACGATATACATGGCCCTAAGAGCAATGGGTGGACTCCCAAATCGTAGCTCCAGGAGCATGTATCAAAAACGTAGGTCGCTTCATTCGCATAATGGTGCGGACAAGCTTGACCAATTCGGAAATTTTGATGCCTCCGCGTACTGCTTAGTTTTGACAGTTGCTCGTCGATCATGAGAATATCACAGCTTTTCGTGGCTCCATGAATTGATGTTGACATTCAACAACCTTGGTTTTGAGCTTGACCTCTCATTGAGTGAAACTTTTCTCATGGCTACGGGTTTCATTGGTCCAGACCTCTACAGGATACGATCAAACCCATTCATGCCGTCCTGCATTTATTTAAATTCGACGATATCCCGCGGCAGGTTTGTCGGCTGATTCTGAGTCGGAGGTCGACACTTCGCATCTTTTTATCCGAAGAAAAGGTGCGGCGCAGGCTGCAAATCTACTGTTCTAGCATCTGTAAGTACCACGGACTTCCTCGGTAGCAACGCGATCATTCTCTCCCTCCTCGGCTAAGTGATAATCTGTTGCACTCTCAGCATATACAAAAGAATGATTTCTAGCTGTCGTAGTCCCTCTCAAGACGAAAGTTATGCCGTGAATTCCATGAGACAGGCCTCGCCCCCTAAAGAAGTTGGGTGGACGCAAGAGGTTTCTGTTAGAGCAGCTCAAGTCCGAAGACTTTTATGAAAGATAATCCGTTACCACCTCCACAATGGGGCCTGCCGTCATCGTGACAATTGACGATATCAGCGTTATTATCTCGTACAATAGGGTGATGAGATGATGAGACCTTCTTAGGGAAATACACCTCGCGCTGTACATTTCAAAGAGTGAGATGAAGCTAGACAGTAATTAAATGTACTTCGTGTCAATTAAGAATTTACTTAAATTTGCATAAAACTCACTTTTGGATTTATGCAAGGAAGAATCATGCAATATGAGTTCTACCGCTTTCGCAGCTTGGTGGTGCGTACAAGCTCATTCCCTGTTTATGCAGACTCATAAGGTCAAAGTTTTGCCTTAGCAAATGATACAATGACCCCCTTTGCGTTCATCGAAGCGCAGTGACGATCCTCGCTGAGCCAAGTCCATATTCACAGCGTGATTAGTCTGAAGCGACGTCATCGCAAGTCGCTGCGACCGTGTACTGTAGACGGGCAAGCTCGGCTTTTTGAGCCAGGTCCAACTTATCTGAGAATCCGCGGCGAGATGCCACAGAACACTTCTACGAAGTGAATGGATCCAAACTGTAACGGGGTTACAACGGGCAAGCTCGGCTTTTTGAGCCAGGTCCAGCATATCTGTGAATCCGCGGCGAGATGCCACAGGACACTTCTACGTAGTGACTGGATCCAAAGTGTAACGGGGTTACACGTACCCTGGTAAA